TTGGCCTCATACTGAACCCTACTGAAGTCCCATCATCAGTGGAAAGGGCTTGTCAGCTGGGTTTGTCCACACAGCAGAGGGGTGGGGAGCAATCTGGATGGTTTACACAGCGATAGTGAGAGACATTAGCCAGACCCAAGAGAGGGCACAGCGTGTGATTCTGTTCCGTGTACAGTCCTTAACAACGGGGTACGTTCTGAGAAAAGTGTCCTTAGGCTATGTTGTCACGGAGCACCCATCCTAGAGTGCCATTCCGCATGCCGAAGCTACTCCATGCCTTGGCTCTATGCGCCAGAGCCCATTGCTCCCAGGCTGCACGCCTGTGCAGCACATGGCCCTACTGAATACTGTAGGCAAGTGTAACACAATTGTAAATATATGTTTATCTAAACATCTAAACACAGGAAGGTATAGTAAAAATGCCGTGTTAAAGATGAAAAGTGGTTCACCTGTGCAGGCCGCTAACTGGGAATGGAGCTTGCAGGACTGGAAGCTGCTCTGGGCCAGTCAGAATGAGTGGCGAGTGTGAGGGCCTAGAACATCACGGTACACTCCTGTATCCTTTATGAACGCTGTGTCCTTAAGCTATGCTGAATTTATTTATTTATTTATTTTGAGACAGAGTCTTGCTCTGTCGCCAGGCTGTAGTGCAGTGGCACAATCTTGGCTCACTGCAACCTCCACCTCCTGGGTTCAAGCCATTCTTCTACCTCAGCCTCCCGAGTAGCTGGGACCACAGGCTCGTGCCACCACTCCTGGCCAATTTTTGTATTTTTAGTTGAGGCGGGGTTTCACCATGTTAGCCAGGATGGTCTCGATATCTTGACCTCGTGATCCGCCTACGTTGGCCTCCCAAAGTGCTGGGATTACAGGTGAATTTATTTTAAACATTTCTTTCTATAATCATAAATTAACCTTAACTTACTGGAACTTTTTTATTTTATACATTTTAATTTTTTTTTTTTTTTTTTTTTTTTTGAGACGGAGTTTCGCTCTTGTTACCCAGGCTGGAGTGCAATGGCGCGATCTCGGCTCATCGCAACCTCCGCCTCCTGGGCTCAGGCAATTCTCCTGCCTCAGCCTCCTAAGTAGCTGGGATTACAGGCACGCGCCACCATGCCCAGCTAGTTTTTTTGTATTTTTAGTAGAGACGGGGTTTCACATGTTGACCAGGATGGTCTCGATCTCTTGACCTCATGATCCACCCGCCTCGGCCTCCCAAAGTGCTGGGATTACAGGCTTGAGCCACCGCGCCCGGCCTACATTTTAATTTTTTAAAACTTTTCCACTCTTGTAATAACACTTAGCTTAAAACACAAATACATTGTATATATATTTTCTTTATACCTTTATTCCATAAGCTTTTCTTAATTTTTAAAACTTTTTTTAAATTGTTGAACCCTAAGACACAAATGCATGTTTGCCTGGCCCTGCACAGGGTCAGGATCATCCACATCACTGTCTTTCACTCCACTTCTTGACCCGCTGGAGAGACTTCAGGGGCAGTAACAGACACGGGACTACCACCTGCTGTGATGACCGTGCCTTCTTCTGGACCCTCCGGAAAGACCTGCCTGGGGCTGTTTATAGTGAACTTTATTTTCATCAGAGAAGGAGTACACTCTAAAACAATGATGAAAAGTATAGTATAGTAAAATAGTAAATGATAGGAATTGTTAGCTTCGTTATAAGCTCATGGGGGACCACCATCTATACACTGCGTGGTGTTGGCCGAAACAAGGATGCTGAGCTCTGGTCCTGCTGTGTGGGCCCACCTGGTGCTGCCACTGTGGGTCTGCAGGAGGTGTGAGATTGAAAACTTGCCTGCACCAGAGTCCAGCATTGTCCTTCACCACTTTTGGAACTGCTCGTTGTGGCCAGTTGTCAGCGTGACTCCACTGTTTACCACCCAGATAAGGATGTCAGGGACTGCCCCAGGCCAACCAGGATCTGCAGTCACCCCAGCAGCTGAGAACCAGCTACATTTGTGACTTTTGCTTTAGAGATATCAAGAACTTCAAGAACTTGTAGCCTAACTCTATAATTTCACAAGTAAGAAATAACAGTATTAACTCTTCACATTTCCCTTCAATCCCATGTCATTTAACCGCCCAGAACTGACAACCATGAGTTCTTCTGCTCTGCGTGAGTTTCTCCCCTGTCCCCTTCAGTTTGGAGGCTCCAGGCTTGTTTGGGATTCGTGCTTCCTCCCTTCTTCCTGAGTGGTCATTGTGCCTCAGCAAGGCTGAGTGTGAGGGAAGTGTGTGGTCCCGACCCACCTTGAGGTGGCCCTAAGCACAGGTGGGAGTGTTTTGTTTGCACCTGGAGTTGGGGTGAACTAAGCGCTTGGCATGTCATGCTTGTGGAAAGCTGCGCCGGCGGTCTCTGAATTGGTGTGTGTGCATGAGGGTGCTGTGACGCGCATGTGGGAGCCCTGAGGTCCCCCCTGAGACCTGGGAAAGACTTCCATGACAGTTACGGAAGCCATGCGGCACTGCTCTGTTCCACTGGCCTTTCTCATCTAATTTTCCTCACACTGATTTTTTCTGTCCAGACTTTGATGCTTTTTGACTCAGGATGGGGTTACAGCCCAATAAGCCCATCATAAGTTAAAAATATCCTGTCAGAAATGTGTTTAACACAAGCAGCCTCCTAAACACCGTGGTGAAGCCTGGCCTGCCTTAAACATGCCCAGAAGACTTGCATCAGCCTAAGGTTGGGCCAAATCATACAGCACAAGCCTATTTTACAACAAAATGTGGAACATCTCATGTAATTCCGTGAATGCTGTACTGAAAGTTGAAACGATGGTTATGTGGGTACTGGAAGGATGGTTTCTACTGAATGTGTACCACTTCTGCACCATCCTAAAGTCAAAAGATAGCAAGTCAAAGCATTGGGAGTAGCGGCATGCCTAGGAGAGCTAGTATACCTGAGCTTTAAATGTTTAAAATACCAGAAAAACACGTTAGAATTTTTTTTTTTTTTTGGAGCCAGAGTCTCGCTCTTTCTCCAGCCTAGAGTGCAGTGGTGTGATCTCAGCTCACTGCAACCTCTGCCTCCTGTGATCAAGTGATTCTCATTACTCAGCCTCCCAGATAGCTGGGATTACATGGTGTGCCACCACACCTGGCTAATTTTTTTTGTATTTTTATTAGAAATGGGGTTTTGCTGTATTGGCCAGGCTGATCTCAAACTTCTGACCTCAAGTGAACTATATGCTTCAGCCTGCCAAACTGCTGTGATTATAGGCGTAAGCCACCGTACCTGGCCCAGGTTAGAATATTTTGCTGGGGAGGAGCTATACTGTCTTAGCTCAGGCTGCCACAGCAAACTGCCACAGTCCAGGCAGCGTGAACAGCAGGAATTCCTTTCTCACAGTTCTGGAGACTGCAAGTCCTCACATGGAGGAGGGGAAGCAAGGCTCTGAGTCTCTTCCTCTTCTTATGACACTGATCCCATCCTGGGGCCCTACCCTCATGACCTCATTCCACCCTCATCACTCCCCAAAGGCCCCACCTCTGGGTGCCATCACATTGGGAGTTAGGGTTTCATCATATGAATTTTGAGACACACATCCAGTGAGTAACAGGTATTACATACGGATAAGGTCATCACTGCTGGTAAAAGAAAAGGGTATGGGTATGTCTGATCTAAGCGGGAGACAATTCCAATGTTTTAATGAGTTGTTTTCAGACAAATTCAATATTTCAAACAACAAAGTCCTTGTTTTTCTTTCCGATACATTTGTAAGGCAACCCTTAAGTCGTTGATTCTATTGTTGTGTATGTGTGAACTGTGGAACATGCTTTTGTAACTTGAGAGTGGACTTCCTTTTGATTTAGTGACCCTTAGAAGTTGGAAATGCCAGGCCCTCTTCAGAGTGTCACAGATGCAGCTCTAGTAAAGTCATCCCCTTTCCTGAGAACTCCATGTGGTCTCTGCCTAGATATGGCAGCCCACCTCTTTCCTGGTCTGATCTCACAGTGGTCCCTGCATTCCAGTGCCCCTCGTCCCTAACAACTGTCTTCTGGGCATGAGTTTCTTTCTGGGCATGTTCTGGACTGTCCTGGTGCTGACGAGCCCTCCCTACCTGGGTCCCCCTACGTATCCATGGTCTGATGCTTATCATCCTCAAGTTCCCTTCTTTGTTTTAGCTAGGACTGCTGGAAACTAGTTTCACTGCAAATTTAGCTTCTTTTTTTTTTTTTGAGACAGAGTTTCGCTCTTGTTGCCCAGGCTGGAGTGCAATGGCGCGATCTCGGCTCACCGCAACCTCCGCCTCCCGGGTTCAAGCAATTCTCCTGCCTCAGCCTCCTGAGTAGCTGGGATTACAGGCACACGCCACCATGCCCAGCTGATTTTTTGTACTTTTAGTAGAGACGGGGTTTCAACATGTTGACCGGGATGGTCTCGATCTCTTGACCTCGTGATCCACCCGTCTCGGCCTCCCAAAGTGCTGGGATTACAGGCTTGAGCCACCACGCCCGACTAAATTTAGCATATTTTAAGGCAAGCCCATTTTGGCCTGTGTTAAAGGACTAAAGAAACCAGGAAACATTCTTTATCCTAAACTTAACTCTTCTAAGAGATTTTTCTCCCAGGGTCTAGGTACAGGAGCCTGATGTCCCTGTGTCTGGTTTTGCTAAATAAGTACTGCTTATTTGCTTAATATATGCAAATTCAAGATAAAACAGACTGAAGAGAGGCCGAAAGAAAGGTTCAATTTATCATAGCTTTACGGAGCAGAAGTCAAAGAGCGAGAGGAATAGAACAGCATGAGCAAGCAAGGGTCAACCCTGCTGGCCTGTGCGCATGGAGCCAGTGGTCTCCTTCCAGGATGAAGCCCAGTGAGAGCAGAGCTCTGGTGAGGAAATTCTGTTGCTTTGAAATGAATTTGTTTTGTTCGGTAAGTAAGGTAGCAAATACCTTTTTGTGATATGAAGAATGAATTTTGGCAGTTTTGTGTTGATCTGTGCATTTGTTTTGTCTCTGTGCAGGCGGGCTGGTCTGATTCTCTGTTTTGGAAGCTCAACCAGTGGCTGATGATTCACATGTTTCACTGCCGCATGGTCCTGACCTACCACATGTGGTGGGTGTGCTTCTGGCACTGGGATGGCCTGGTCAGCAGCCTGTATCTGCCTCATTTGGCACTCTACCTGGTTGGACTGGCTCTGCTTACACTAATCATTAATCCATACTGGACCCATAAGAAGACTCAGCAGCTTCTCCATCCAGTGGACTGGAACTTTGCACAGCCAGAAGCCAAGAGCAGGCCGGAAGGCAACGGGCAGCTGCTGCGGAAGAAGAGGCTGTAGCTGCTCCAGCCGGGGCTCCCGGGCCCCAGCAAGTCGGCACACAGATTCTGGGAAGTTCCGTGAATAGTGGCTTTTGAATTAATGAGGCAGTGAATGCTTTGTTTTTAGTTCTAAGGAAAATACTAACTTTATTTCTCATTAGCATTAATTTTGAAGTAGCTACAAAGGCTTTTTAAGAAATAATAATTTTGCGGCTGTCCTGACTGGTTCTGTAAGTTGAGCCTCTGGAGCATGTCAGGCATTTAGGAGAGGAGTCCGTGGCATCCAGGCATCACACCTGCCCTTGTCCGAATGCTGGAAGTGGCTTCGTAGTGAAGTGCCTCCCGCTGGGGGAGTGACTCAGCGTTGATTTTCCAGCCACACACTCACATGCTGTGTGTCTTATTCAGAAGTCACATTCTTTTCAGCTGGAGAGAATTGGGCTAAAATAGAAAATAATATGACTTGTTCCTTGTTAAATTGCCCATGGTATAAAATTCTAGGCTGGGCATGGTGGCTCACACTCAAAGTAATCCCAGCACTTTCGGAGGCTGAGGCAGGTGGATCACTTGACGCCAGCCTGACCAACATGATTAAACCCTGTCTCTACTAAAAATACAAAAATTAGCTGGGTGTGGTGGTACGTGCCTATAATCCTAGCTACTCAGGAGGCTGAAGCAAGAGAATCGCCTGAACCCAGGAGGTGGAGATTGCAATGAGCTGAGATCAAGCCATTGCACTTTAGCCTGGGAACAGAGCAAGACTCTTTCACCAAAAAAAAAAAAAAAAAAAAAAAAGAAAAAAATTCTAAACCTAGGTGTCTGGCAGTGCCATCTGGTGGCAAATGGTACAAAGACATCTCTGAGGGGTAGTGACTCCTGTAGCAGTGGAGACGCGTTGGAGTTGACCTGCCACCAACCAGCGTGTGGGGTGGTTGAGTTGAAATCTTGCAAGTTTTTTTTTAAATCATGGAACCTGTTTTAAAATGAGAATTTACTATTCATACTATATTGCTCATTTGACAAAATGAGGTAGATACTTAGTAATCAGGTTGTCTGGGTTTTAGAGTTGTTTTTCATTGATGGAGTTACCTACAGGCATCCAGTCCACACCCCAATTGTGTGGTTGGTGTTTCTTGCTAGCTTTCAAGGAAAGTAGTGATGTCATTTTCCTCCTGAGCTGCAAGGGTGGACCTGGACCCCTCAGATGCTCAGCTGCAGGGCCCTGGGGTCCCTCGAATGGTCCTGCCATAGCCCCTGGCCATGAGCGCCTGACGACAAGTCCCAAGGTACGTTACTGTTTTATGTCCAGGTAGAATTTATACACCAACTGAGCAATTTTGTTGACAGACATACAGAATTGTGTGGGTTTTTGTTTTTGTTTTAAATGTGCAATTAAAATTCAAAGTTTATTATTTATCAAAAGCACCTTTGAAATGTGTATAGAAAAACATCGGCTGCTCATGAGAATTGTGTGACTTACGCTCCTCACGTGTCGTGGAACTCTCGGAGCTGTGGTTCGTTTGTTTTGAGACGGAGTCTCGCTCTGGCTCACAGGCTGGCACGCAGTGGTGCCATCTCAGCTCACTGCAACCTCCATCTCCTGATTTCCAGCGATTCTGCTACCTCAGCCTCCCGAGTAGCTGGGATTATAGGTATGTGCTACCACGCCCGGCTAATTTTTTGTATTTTTAGTAGAGATGAGGTTTCACCATGTTGGCCAGGCTGGTCTCCAACTCCTGACCTCAAGTGATCTGCCCACCTCGGCCTCCCAAAGTGCTGGGATTACAGGCGTGAGCCACCTCGCCTGGCCTGGAGCAGTGTCTTTTGGTTGCTGATGCTTTACCTTTATTGATCCAGGTGTATGGTAACCTATTTATCACATTTTATGAAGAGATTTTAATCTTAAACTCATCCAGCAAATGGTGTCCCTGCTGAGACTTTTAACTGGAATCCCGGCACTGGCAGGCAGTGCTGTCTGCATCCATGCCCTTGTGGAGTAAGCAGGAGCTGGCGTTTTTCAGCCAGGCAGAGGAATAACAAAGTCACTGATGTTTACAGAACTCAAACGATGTCAAATAACCTATTCATATTGCTGTGAATGTTTTATCCTGGAGATACAAAATATAACGATCAGCCTTCATGTGTTCAGATTTCAGTTTGGAGTTTGAAGTGTGTAGCCTCATCTGTGTCTCACCCTCACTAGGACTTTGACCTGGCAGAGGTCCACGTGTCACCTCCAGTATCTTTATACACGCATTGCTCGGATGCGTAGAGATGGAGGCACCTTAGAGAAGCACAGGCTCGCCCACTCTGTCCAGTGTCACACACACACACATTGTGCCAGGGATCCCTCATTGCAGAGCCTGGAGTTGGGGGTTTTGGGGTGGAAAAGGCTTTGTGAATTATTACCATCCGGACCCCTTCCAGATTGCACAGCACTTTCCCATGGTCTTCGCTGGCCTCAGTCTCCCCGACCTGCAGTGCGAGTGGAGGTATCCATAGTGGAGCGTGGTGCAAGTGACATTCATGAGCTCTGGCTTCTTGGTGCCAGGCTGGCGTGAGCTGGGCCTGGCCCACTCAGCGGCCAATACTGGCCAGCATCCATCTGCACGTGTGTGCTGTGTGCCTCTCAAGAGTTACAGCAAGTGTTAAACCGGGCGAGTTCACGCAACAGTCAGGAATTCTAGAATTGCTTGAAAACTAGGAAGACTGGGTGACATGGCAGGTGACTCCGATGGAAATGGCCTTCCCTTTAGCTGGGATGTGGCTCTCCAGCGTGGCTTTGCTCTCATCACTCATCCTGCGCTTTTTCTTTCGGTGGTGAAATACTTCTGCATAGCCATGTTTTGTTTGTTTCTTAATGGGTGACTGAAGAGCCAAGGCCTGGTGCAGCCTCCTGGCCATGGTGCAGGGGCCGGGCCGCACAGGCTGCTGCTTGTCTCGGTGTCCAGGCTCCTTGGGTGATGCTGAAGTTGTCATGGTCAGCTGTTCAGTGTGAGTTTTTTTTTTTTTTTTTTTTTTTTTTTTGCCAGGTATTGTGCTTAAGGGACGTATTTCCCATTTTCTACGCACTGTCAACTTGAAATAGGCACTGCTGAATCCGCTCCACAGCAGAGGAGCCTCAGGGCTCACAGAGGTGGTGATGTGCCCAAGGTGATGCAGCTGGTGAGTGGCCGTGCCTGCCTCCGGGCACAGCCTCCAGCGCCAGAGCTGAGCTCTTCAACGCGGCATTTAGTGGGAGTGGTGGTGCATGACTGTAGTCCCAGCTACTTGGGAGGTTAAGGCAGGAGAATTGCTTGAACCTGGGAGGTGAAGGTGTGGGTAGATTAGTATCTGCTGGGAATCCTGCATCCTTACATGGTGGAGGGGATTGAAGGTCAAGAGGCCTCAGCTAGTTCCATGCTGCCTTTTTATGAGGCATGAAGCCATTTGTAAGAGTAGGGGCCCAGCCTCTTAATACCTCTGCAGTGACAATGACAATGTCATGTGAATTCTGGAGGGGACACAGTCACACCACAGCACCCGGTGAATGTGATTCTCTTCCGTCAGAATTCTGTGAGCTTAACAAGGCCAGGGTTCTGTCTGTTTTGTTTTCTGATTTATTCCAAGCCCCATGTGCCTGGCACAGGATGGTGGCAGGGCAGTGGGGAGTGGATGAACTGGTTAGTAGTACCTGGGACTGCCAGGCCCACAGGGGAAATACCCAAGGGCTGATGCAGGGACGTCTGTTGAAGGGCGTAGTTACCATGATAAGGGCAGGGCCGAGAGGCTGGGCAGCCAGTTTCACCCTCGCACGGGGTACCTGGCAAGGCCAGCAGCCAGCCGGAGGTGACGTCCTCAGTGGAGAACTGTGGACACTGGAAACCGTGTGGCCAGAAGGGGAAACGATCAGGCCTCCGGTGGAGACCAGCCTGGGTGGGGTCTGCCAGGGTCAGCTGTCTTTGCTTCATGCCGGGACAGAGATGTGTGTGTGTGACAAAGCATTTGATAGCACGCCAAAAGCTTCCTCCATTGAGCGCGTGTGAAGTGTCTGACCGGGTCGGAAGCCTTCTTGTTCTGAGCGCATGTGTTCACGCAGACAGAGGTGCGGGGGCCCCGTTCTGCCCTCGCGCAGCTGAACTGAAAGGCCTCCCGCTCGCTCATCGGGCTGGCGGCTCGGCCACAAAGTGCATCCGGCGTGCCTCTGGGACTCCGCTTCGTGCTGTATCCCACGGTGGCCCAGGCGCGTTGGGGTTAGACGGGTACCGGTCAGATGCACAGGTGCCCCACACCCCTGCTGTGGCTTCGGCAGTAGAGACAGGAGGCACCCACGTGACAACAGGAACACAGGCAGGGGTGTTGGGGCAGCCCTCAGGGTCTCCAGACCCCCGCCCAATACCCACAGCAGCCCAGGAAGGGAGGGCAGAGTCCCAGGTGTCACCGGCCAGGGAGCTCCCAGGAGCTGCCCCTCCCTGAAGTCACGGGACAGGAATGACAGGTCAGAGGACTGCCAGAAGCTGCCACCCCTGTGATCACAGCGTTGCCCAGGCTGCAGGGGCTCTATCATGGGGTCTGCGAGAGCCAGCCTGCCTGCCTTGTGCTCACACCTGGCTTTGCTCTCTGCAGAACCCAGCACATGTGATTTTGTGTGACACGCCGACAGCCGGGCTGCCAGGACAGGAGGCCTGCCCTGGAGGAGTGGCTGCAGGAGACGGCGGGGTGGGCACCTGGGAGCCCGTCCAGCCTGGTCCCAAAGGCATCGCCGACCCTGCCGTCCTGATTTCAGCTCCCTGCAGAGTAAATCAGAATAAACCGCACCCAGGCGTTCACGAACGAACACACGTCAAGGCTTGCAGTTCACCTCTGTCTTTGCTAACTTCATCCTATTTTCTTCTAACGTGAGAGCTTATTAATTCAATATTTGTGTTTTTGAATAACTTTTCTCCTTTTTAGTAACTAAAATCACTATTAGTAAAATGCATTTACTATTTTAGTAACAGAAATATACTTACCAATCATGTTTAAAATACAGTGATGTGGAAAATTCAGACGTCTCTATTTTCTTCTGATGACTCAACCCCAAATGTCTGGAATTGACTCTGAGGTATCCAGGATCGGGAGCCAGCCATCCAAGAGGAAAAAGAAACCACACCCTTCCTTCTGGGAACCCGGCCAGGAACACCAGAGCGCAGGCGCCTGGCCTCAGTGACACCTCATTTCCACATCTGCAGGCCCATGGTGTGAATTCATTTCTTTTCTCACTGGAGGTATTTTCCTTTCAGCGTTGCGCAGCTCCCACTTGGCAGCCTCAGTTAGCAGTCCCGCCCGCCTGAAGCCGCGTACTTCCCGTTCCTGCAGGGTTCCATACCTGCAACCTCAAACCCATAGAAAGATTTCAAAAATTAAAGCAAAGTTCAAACCCTCCATTGTTACAGAAAGTTACTCAATGTCAAGTCTCAATCTGAAAAGTTTCTTGACGTAGAAAACATTTTTTAGAAACTTCAAGACAGGGTCTTGCTTTTTGGCCAGGTGTGGAGTGCGCTGGGGTGATCACGGCTCACTGTAACCTCAAACTCTGGGGCATAAATGATCCTCTTACCTCAGCCTCCAAAGGAGCTGGGATCACAGGTGTGTGTCACCATGCCTAGCTAATTTTTAAATTTTTGTGTAGAGACGGGATCTTGCTGTCTTTCTCAGGCTGATCTCAAACTCCTCTGCAGTCCTCCCACACCGGCCTCCCAAAGTGCTGGGGTTACAGGCGTGAGCCACCGTGCCCAGCCTACATACGAAACTTCTATAGTCCTGGTAACTTTTGCAACGTTTTCTGTGTGGTTTTTCAAAAATAATATGCGAAATGCGAAGTCCCAGTTGGAACACTGCATTTTAGCTGCAGTTTCATTTGTTACAAGGAATTTCCAAGTATATCTAGTCAACCCCAGAGATTTTGTTTCCACACAAAACAATCACAGAGCACAGAGCGTTCGAGGCAGAGAGTAGTTTTTTGCTGACTGCCAAAGCTTAGCAAGGTTGAGCCCGCCATGTGATATTCCCATTGTGCATTTTCTGTAATTTCAGATTATCTCAAATAGAAAGCATGCAACCCTTTAAAAAAATAAAGCTCAGGGAAAATCTCATTTGCTAAACGTGGCTTTTAACATTGAATTTGGAGCTGGTTACAGGACTGGAATTGCGTTCTGCCAGCGTGGGTCCCTCGCCAGCCCGTCCTCTGCCAGCTGGTGCCTATCTTCTGGACCTTGGTGTGCACACAGCACAGTCTGGCCACCTAGAAGGGGAGGGCTAGCGGCTGAGTGCGTTTTCCTTTGCAAGTGCAGGCAAGCCTGGATCGAGGACACCTTCCCATGCCTTCCTACCTCCTTTTGGCGTCAAATGCAGTCCCGGTCCTTACAGGGGCACCTGCCATTGCTACCACGAGGAGCAGGCATAAGGATCCACATCTACACTCCGGTGTGGGAAGGAATGGATGGCATAGCCCTGGGCCACCAGCCTGGGGTCCTGTCATGTGAAAAAAACTGGCCTGATGGCACCAGTGAAGGAAACACCCCACCTGCTTTGTTCACCTTTACCCTGTCTCATGGAGGTTCCTAAACACACAGAATGAAGAGTGTTAACCTGCTAGCCATGTTCACCACCTGAATGATTAGAAAACCCTCTGTAGAAGACACCAATGGTTTGCAGCTGTGGGCTTTTCCAAAATCATCTTGGCTGGGAGGCAGACAGAATGGGGGGCCTGGACGTCACGTGTGTCTCAGATGCCGCAGCTTCAAAAGGAGGCTGCGTGGTTTAAAGGAAGTTACTCTGTTCCATATTATTTTTGTTTTTAGCTTCTTATTTTGAACTAATTTCAAACTTACAGAAATTTAAGGAGAGAAAAAGAACAAAGCAAACCTTCCATGTACTCTTCGTCCCTATTGATCCTTTTTTAACTTGGTGCCACATTTGTCATAGCGGCGTCTTCCCTTTCCCTAGGTCTCTCCTTGCCTCTTTCTTTTTTTTACTTCATATCCCTTAGCCCTTAATACTTCAGTGTTTATTGGCCAGGCACAACGTCTCATGCCTGTAATCCCAGGACGTAGGGAGGCCGAGGCAGGTGGATCACTTGAGGTCGGGAGTCGGAGACCAGCCTGGCCAACGTGGTGAAATCCCATCTCTACTAAAAATACACAAATTAGTCGGTGGTGATAGCACACACCTGTAATCCCAGCTACTCAGGAGGCTGAGGCAAGAGAATCACTTGAACCCTGGAGGCAGAGGTTGCAGTGAGCTGAGATAATGCAACTGCACTCCAGCTTGGGCAACAGAGTGAGACTATGTCTAAAAAAAACAAAAACAGAAATACAAAACGGAAACCAGAAAACAAAAACAAACCAAAAAACCTTTAGTGTTTATTTCCTAAGAATAAGGATATTCTCATGTAACCACGTCATACGCTATCAATTCAAGAAATGTAACATGGAGCCAGGGCTCTTTATCTCATCTGCAGTTGCTTTCTAACTTTAACAGTTTCTCTTCTGTCCTTTTTTTTTTTCTTGATCCAGGACGGAGTGCCAGATCACATGCTCTGTTTGGTAATCACATCACTTGGTTCTTTAATCTGCTGTAGTTCTTCAGCCTGTCTTTCTCTTTAATGGCAGTGATATTTTTTAATAATACCAGCCGGTTGTATTAAAGAATGCCCCTCAGTTTGGTTTGGTTTGATATTTTGTCAGGATTGAATTCAAGTTATGTGTTTCTAGCTGGAGTGCTCTGTAAACAACATCCTTAGGATATCAAACGCAGAGGCATCTGTCAGTTTGTCCTTATTGGCAAAGTTAGTTTTGGTCCTTGATAAGGTGGTTCCTCCTCTGAATCGTCACAGATTTTCCACGTCCTTGGGTGTATTGTGGGTGACCTGCTGAGGCTGAGAATGCCCTGTCTGTTCACAAAGCTGCCACCTGCCCCAGGCTGGCCTCACCGGCACCAAGTCACGTTTGCACTCAGTTGGGTCAGCCTTCTTGGCAATGGTTCAATACACTAATTTTCCAACTCCATCACTTCTTACGGCATTCTGTAAAGAAGGGCCACTTTCTTCCCAGTGTTTATTATCACTCTGGGTTCACGGATTCTTTGTTTGGTAATGTTACTGTTTATAGTGGGTTACAGTTGATTGTCGTTCTGATAGTTGTTGCTGTCCACATTGTTCCAGGTTTGCTGTGGGAGTCTGTCCAGGCGGTCCCAGCATCCTTCTCTGAACCGATCCTTGTTCTGAGTCCTTATTTTTTATGCAGTGGGGTGCACCTCCTCTGCCATGCCACTGGATCCAGCCCTTGCTGCAAGGATTCTGGTTCTTCTTAGTGAGGAGTGGGATTGAGAAGTCAAGATGTGTGTGAGATGTGCTCGTTGTTCATGAGCATCAGAACCTCCAGAGCCTTCTCCCTCCACTGCAGCCAGCGCCACGGTACTTCCTTGCCTGCCCCACTCCTGCCCATCGCAAATTGCATGGTGATGACTGCAGCTCACAGCAGCCATGGCAGCATCACACGTGACTCAAACACACCATAGCACAGAGCAGGTTTGGAGCAGCTCCACCCCCAGGACCACAGAAAACAAACCCACTGCGAGTTCCAGACCTGTTTGCAGCATTTTTCTTTAGTCTGAGAGTATGTGGTCAAAGTGCTATCTTCAAAAATTACTTCCGTTTGTTCTTTCCCAACTCTCCTTCTGATGATGGCTAATAATTTGAAAGAGAGTTGGGTTCCTTTTTTGGAATTCTATTGTAGCATTTTCCCCACTTCTGGATAATTTTATTATTTGAATGCAAAATGTCATGATTCCAAAAGTTAAAACTATTCAAAAAGCTGTGCTCAGAGAACTGTCATCTCCTCTCTATTTCTTCTGTCCTGTTTTCTCCGAAAGGAACCAGTTCATTTATTTCAACAGCTTTCCTGAGCTATAATTCACATATTATAAAATTCACCCATTTAAAGTGTATTTAGTGGTTTTTAGTACTCATAGAATTGCGAAACCGCCACAATCACTTTTAGAACATTTTCATCAACTAAAAAAAAAAAAATCTGTACCCATGAGTAGCTGTTCCCCATTCCCCTCACACTCCTGCTGCCTCAGTCCTCCTCCCTGGCCTTAGGCAACGGCTCGTCTTTTTGTCTCTATAGACTTGCCAGTTCTGGACGTTTCCTATGAGGGAATACAAAGAATACATGGCCTTGTACACCTGGCTTCTTTCACATATTGTCGCGTTGCCAGGGTTCATCGGTGTGGTGCGTACCTGTACTTCCTCCCTTTTTATTGCCAGATAATACTCCATTGTATGGATTGGCCGCATTTTATGTAGCTGTCCATCAGCCGATGGCCTTTTGAGTTGTTTCCACTTTTTGGCTATTACGAACGATTCTGTCATGAGCGTCAGGTGCACATTTTTGTGGGGACATACAGTGTCCCCTCTCTGACATATTCCATAGGGAACGGAACTGCTGGGTCCCTCGTTCGCTCTTTGTTTAGATGCGGAGAATCTGCCAGGCCATTTCCCAAAGCACATGCACGCTCCGCTGCCTTCTGTTCCCTTGAGTGCGTGAGGGTTCCGGGCTCTGCTCATCCTGGCAGCCCTTGTTGCTGTCCGTCTGTGTCCTGATTGCCATGCTAGTGGGTGTGGGGTGGTGTCTGAGTGTGGCTTGATTCCCGTTTTCCTGATGGCTGATGACGCTGCGTGTCCTCACTTGGGTCTGGCCCGTTTGTATGTCTTCCTCAGAGCAACGCCTCTTCAGATCCTTTGTCCATTAGGCCCAGTGGGGTAATTCTTTCACTGCGGAGTTGGAAGAGTTCTGGATCTACTCTGCATGCACACCACTTAGGAGACACTGGTCTGCACAGACTTCTTCCGTCTCTTTGGCTTGTCTTTTCACTCTCTTGATGTTTCTGGGAGTTTCCATGTTCCTTTTGTTCTTTGTGCTTTTCATATCATGTCACAAAAAGCTTTCCCTAATCTGACACTGCAAAGATTGACACTCGTATTTTTTTCTGGGACTTTTATAGT